TAGAGCCATGACCCCTTGACATCAGTATATGTGACAGTTTATTGTGTGTTCTGTGTGCCAAGCTGACTGTGTGCACGTACGGGATTCAATGAATAATTGTGGAACAATTGCATAAATAATAGGTATTTTAGTAACTGAAAATAGCACTAACAGCCACTATTCTAATAAGCATTCTGCTATATAAACTGGTTTGACCCTTACAACCATGTGAGTTAGATGTTATTATCATCATTTAGAGATGAGGACACTGAGTCACAGAAAGGATAAGTAGCTTATCCAGGGTCACCCAGCAAGGTGGTCCAGCTGGCAGGTCTCTGCTACCTCCCACCAGGCTTTATGTGTGCTGCAAATCCCAGAGGAGAGTCCTTGGAGTGAGTGATGCTTGGGTCCCAGCACAGGAGTTACAAGTGGCAGGTGAGGAGGCAGAGAGGAGCATTTCTGGCAGAGGAAGTATGGCCAGTGCAAGGACCTCAAGGTGAGAAACAGCGCCTGGATCTGCTGGGTGTCAAGCAGAAGGTGGGGCGTTGCAGCAGAAGATGCCAGAGTTGGCAGTGGCGCTGCATCATGGATAACTGCGCGTTCCTCTCATATCAGTCTCATAGGCATTTAGTTAAGTGCAGAGTGTCGTGCAAACGTGAAACTGGGTGCGTCACCTCACCGGGGGGCTCAGGAAAAGCATCGTAGAAATGATGACACCTGTGCTGTCCTGGAGCTGCTGACTCAGGAGTGTCTGGACCCAGGCAGTTAACTTAAACGTATGGCTGGGAGAGTGCGCGCACGCCCCTCCTCACGCGCAGCTGTGCTCATCTCCTGCCAGCATTTGCCGTGGGCGTAGGTAGAGGCTCAGTCTTGTCAGATCTAATTCTCTCAAGACAAATTAGAAATCTAAGCTTGTATGAGAAGTCTTTCAATTTTTAAACGCCAGCTCATTTTCGAACACAGCAGGATTATAGGGTTGCCAGATGTAGCAAAGAAAAATACAGGACACCGGTTCAATTTGAATTTCAAATAAAAAAAAAATTTTAGTATATGGGTGTTCCAGATATTTCATGCGATAAGCTCATACTATAAAATTGTTTGTTGTTTAGCCGAAAATCAAATTGAGCTGGGTGTTTCATATTTTATCTGGCAGCCTTCAGTGGGAACCAAATATAATTTGTGGTCTCCGTAGGACCCACAGGGCACCAGTTTGCACCCGCTGTGGATTGTGCGTGATTATTAGTCAGGTGAGACTTTTGAGAAAGTAAGTGGCAGTTAAGGCTGGGAGAGCAAGGGGGTGGGTGGTGGAGGCCCTGTGCCATGAAGCCTTCTGTGGTGACTCAGACTCAACATACTTTGAGGAAGAGCTTCAAGGACCAAGGCCTTGGGACTAGAAGAGGGCCATTTTTTTTTTTTTTTTTTTTTTGG